ACATGAGTGTGGCCTTCACCCAGGATGAGTGGTGGGAACTGTGTCCTGCCCAGAGGACCCTGTGCAGAGATGCAATGCCAGGGTCCTGTCTTCATGGACACGCTCTGAACTCAGGAACCCCCCCTGAGTGACCATGAGGGGTGAGGCTGCATTGACACCTTCTGGAAACAGACCCAGGGGAGTCCACCAGCACCCCTGGCTGTTGGTCCTCCTTTAAGTAGGATAAAGCTCTAGGACAGAGGCTCTTCATTCCCAGCTTATATGGATCTTGGTTAAACACCATTCATTCAGTGCACAGCTGAGAGTAGAGCATCTTCAAGAATGATCTGGAAGGTAACTTAACCCTGTTCTATGTCTTTGTTGATAAATGAGTCCACATTTGTATAAAATGGAAAATAAAAGAGAAATTGCTAATTAGGGAGTGCACCTGTATCTAGTATAGAGTAGAAAACAAATGGAATTGAAGGGAGAGAATACTAGTAGGTTTTTAATTACTATTTCAGCCCTCATTACTCTACCTGAATGAGGATGGGGTAAAAATTTGAGCATGAATTAAAGACTGACATTCTCCACAGATCATCTCTGACTCCAAAATGACCATCTGAGTTTAAGAATGTTGTGGAATCCCTCAAATTTATGATTGGTGGTGGAATCTCCTAGGGACTCACTCAGAGTATGTGAGTGGGCCCCTTGGCCTGTAACTATTAGGAGACCTAATAGTTAAGTCTTTTCATCTGTAAAGTCAGATAAATAATAATTCATCCATCCGTATATCCATCTGTCCACCCACCCACCCACCCATCCAAACAACCACCCTCACACACATCCATCCATCCATCCATCCATCCATCCACCTAATAGATAACATGGAGGCACAGGGAATACAGCAACAAATAAAGCAGACAAAAGTCCTGTTCTCATAGAGTTTACATTCTATTGGGTAGAAACAGAACATGCATGTGAGCAAACAATAAGTAAAATATGTAATACGTTAGATAAAAAATGCTATGGAAAAAAAACAGAGAAGGGGTATGGGAAATGCTGGAGGAGAAGGAAGGATTTTAATACAGAGGTCTCGCTGAGATGATAAATGAGCGAAGACCTAAAGAACACGAGGCAGGGTATCCAGACAATGGGAATAGCAAGAGCAGAGGCTCTGGGGTGCAAATTCAGAGGTAACTCCAAAGACTTGACTTATGTCTTAATAATTTTGGTGTCTACCAACTTCCCTATCTTATCAGGAGTCTGATTCTGAGCCTAGAAAGGGCTGAATGGCTTCATTAAAAATGTTGAAGAATGAAAAACTTCTGTGGAATTTCTGGGAACATTTTCTCTCCTGACAACAAATGAGCAAAATCAGAGTGCATTGAAGTTAAAATAAAATGTAATCAAATGCCACTGCCAAGAATATTCAGACTATTTCTTTCCTAAAGCCGAAAGGTCAGTTGAATGAAAATAGTTTCAAGTGGAATTGTTAGTGTTTCTTGATTTAACTTTCCTGGTAGGTATGTAAACAGATGAGTTGTGTTGAATCTTTGTTATTTTTTAAATATTCAAGTCTTCTCTGATTATAACAGTGAATGTCCTATTGTAAAAAATTTGAAATTCATGTAAGAGAATGACAAAAGCACAAGGCTCTTGTCACCACATAACAGAAAAAATAAAACTGTTAACACCCTCCCCCCTGCATCTCTGGCCTGTACCCCAGCTCTTGTATGCATAAATAAATAAATCTTTAAAAAAAAAGATTTTCCTTTTAAGTTTTCTGATTAGCTGAAATAGCTTGTTTTAATAGGCAGTTTTTGTTGCCACTATGAACAATTTCATTGACCAATTTTCAGCTACCAACTTTTCTTTTGATTTTTCTAAGATTTTTCTTACTGATTTGAATAAGCTCTTTCAATCATAAAAAAAAAAATCACTAATCAGTTTTCTGTCTTATTCGTGGCAAATGATCTTTCCCAAGTTTCCTTACTGCCTTTTTTTGGGGTGGGCATATTTTTTATGTTTACAATTTGCATTTTTATAGTCATGCATGCTCATTATTAAAGCAAAAAAAAAAGGTCCATATTCAAAAATGTTCACTGTGGAGGACCCCTTCAAATTTTACTGAAAATGCTTTTTTATGGGAGCCTCTCTTCAATCTGTACTCCTTTCAATGCTGTGCTTTAAAATGAAATCCCAAATAATACAATAAAATGGGTTTAAAATTTTCACCATGTAAAATGCAATTATTTCTAGGTTAATGAATGGCTAAAGCAGACCTGTGCACTCGGGCCTTATGGAATATGGCTGAAAGATCCAGGTCCCTTGCGGGCCCCGCTAGTTTGGCAACTGTTTGCAGAAATTCAGTGCAGTCATGGGCCACTTCAGCCCAGGATTGGTTCTGAGTCTTGCCTCATTAGGCAATTTTGTTATTGTGTGAACATCACAGCATACAATCACACAAACCGAGACGGTGTATCATTCAACACACTTACGCTGTCTACAGGGACCGCTGGTGCATACATGGTCAACTGAGATGTGATTTGTGGTTGCAGGTCTGTACTCATGGGGTGAATCTGGTCCTGAGGCTTCCTAGGCCTTGCAGGAGCAGGGCCTCCCAGACCTCCTGGTTTACTGGTTCCCATTTCTCCAACCCAGCCCTGCACAATGGGTGGAGAGACACATGTGGGCATGAGGATCTACTCCCACACCCTCTACTCACCACCAACAGCTGTTTGCTCTGCTCCGTCTCACCCTCCTCCCTCTCCCAGATATCCCCTCTGTCTAAGATTAAGCAAGTTCCTACGTAATCACAGAATAGAAAGAACTCATTTAACACATCTGCAGTGTGGACCTTAGATTCTCTTCCCATTGTGGTGGCTGTGGGTTTGGATGATGACTAGTGTGGCTTTATTCCCAACAATACAAAAGTAGTGAGCAAACTCTAGGATGCAGTCTTTGTATTTGTTGGATTTGTGAGACTGGGGATGCAGAGGCCTGCTAAGTCCCCATCACTTAGTTGTAATGTGGAAAATAAAATCAGAACTACATGGGAATCTATTTTCATTATACAGCATTTCTCCGTATCATTTTTTAAAAATTTACCTCTCTTTGGTTAAATTCAAGTAAATCCCCTAAAATGGTCACATAATTCTTTGATAGGAACCTAATCTTTCTCTCCTCTACTCTAAGATTTTTAATGAAGGAAATCATAAGCACAATCATAATCACAATCTTCAAAGCTCATAAAGCAATCCCATAAATTATTTATGAATGTGTCAGTGAATGGTAAAGATATAGCGGTGTGGGTAGGAAATGTGTCTGTCATGGTCCAACCAAGAGAGCAGACAGCACCCTAAGATCTTTCAAGCTGGGCTCTTAATTCAAAGAATCAGTTGCCCTGTGATGGAAGAGCTGGGCTATCAAATGGGAGAACAGGTGAGGTGACTCAGGTGAGCAGCTGCTGGAAGAGACTGGCAGCCTTCCGCATGGAGGACATATGAGGGCACCATGTTTCCTAATCCCAGAAGTCATGCCATCCAATAAGAGCCAATCACAGTGCAGGCTACCTGGCAAGAGCCGAGACCACAGAGGAAAGGTGACTCCCACTGATGACGCCACTCAAGGTGGAGAGAGAGAGAGAAACCTTTGGCTTCTCCCTTCTCCTATTACGCAATCTTCTAACAGTAGAGTAAGCCCTCACTCAACATCCCAGCGGGCTCTTGGAAGCTGTGACTTGAATCAAATGATGTCCAGCAAAACCAGGTCCTTAAATCACGTAGGCAAGGACTTTCCCCCTTATCAATGTTACAGTGAATCAACCGCAAATGAAAGGACACTCAAGGATCCCTGCACCTCTCCTGGAGCCCTCCCAGCTGGGGCCCATCGGGCTAGAAGACCGGGAACTGCAGTTCCAGTGTCCCACTGTACAGCATAGAGGAGGGTAAGGGCTGGGGCAAGTAGATCCATGACTAGCCAAGGGAAGAGGCAGCACCTCACCAACTTGCGGATGAGACCCTCCACTGCGGTGGTAGCCATTTATTTGGTTAATAATTTTTTAAGCTTGAAGTCTATATGGCAGAGTGTTAGCATTTGTTAAAATTTGTTTTTTTTTTTAAGAGGAGTTTATGTTTTAATAGGTACACACAGCATTTATTGATTTATTTATTTATTTATTTATTTATTGCATAGAACTGGGGTACAGGCCAGAGGTGTGTGAAGGGGGGTGGGTTAGGTTGAGAGGATTCACCAGAGACAGAGTGGGGAGCAGAACAGGCAGATCTACTGAAATACACCGCTGAGGGGAGCAGCGGGTGAGACAGGAGAGGTCTGTTATGCCATGTGGGTAGCTCCCTGGCCGGGGATCCAACTCAGGCCATAGAGATGATAGTGCTGAGACTTAACCCCTAGGCTACCAGGGAGGCCCATGTTTTTTAAATTTGTAAGGTCAAATGCTCATTTTGTTATTTGTACATTTCTACATAATTATATTATTCCATAAGAAAAAATTATTATAGAAAATAAAGAAATATTCCAGTTTAATGGCAATGTAAACATTTTTCTATTCAGACTCACCTAGCAACTTTGCTTATTCAGACTTGCCTGTCTCTCCCACCCCATTCCCAGAAATTCACACCCCACACCTCTCCTTCAAGGCATCTTTGTGGATCTTGCAGGTTCTGCCACCGCTGGGCCAGAGGCTTTGGCACGACAGCGTGCCAGAGACAGGGTGGAAGAATGTGGAGGAGAAAGGCAAGCAGGGAAGGTCCCAGGAGGCCCCGGAGGAAGAGGACAAGCCATCTGAGCTCTTCTAGATCCTGTCTGCCTTCCAATCCAGGCTCAGTCACTTCCAACCTGGGTGTCCTTGAGGGGGTTCCTTGCCCCCCCATTCCTCTGTCCTCTTCTGTGACATGTGAATACAACAGCCTCCCTCTAAGGGTGGCTGCAGGATCCAAGGAGCAAACACATTCAAAAACACTTCAAATAGCACTGGCACAGAGTGAACTCACTACATGTTGATTATTTTTTTTTTTTCTTTATTGTTTTTAAATCTTTGCATCCTCACAGTTAACACAGTTCCTTGTGATCAGGTGAAGGATTAGCTGCTCCTGGTAGAACATACTGCTCTACATACAACAATGTAAAGGCTCTGGCTTTTAGAATCTATGATTTCTGGTAAACTTGGTTAACATAGGATTGTGGTGAAAAACAACAGTGTGATTTTACCAGGATCTCAGCTTCAGTATTCAGCGTGGAAGGGGAATTCATCCAAATGAGACATGCTGCAGGAAAGCAAGCAGAAAGAGGAATACAGAACATTAAACTCTGGTTGAAAAGGTATCCTTATGTGGCCTCCCTGGTGGCGCAAGGGGTTAAGTCGCAGCACTATGAAGCTATCCGCAGCCACTGCAGCATGAGTTCGATCCCTGGCCAGGGAGCTACCTACATGGCGCGGCAGACCTCTCCTGTCTTGTCCGCTGCTCCCCTCAGCAGTGTATTTCAGTCAGTCTGCTGTTCTGTTCCCCACTCTGTCTCTGGTGAATCCTCTCACCTCCCCCCCACCCCACACCTCTGGCCTGTACCCCAGCTCTTGTATGCATAAATAAATAAATCTTTAAAAAAAAAAAAAGAATAGGTATGCTTATCTAGTGTGTTCTATGGTCTTTCTGTTTTCTCAGCCTCCTTCCTCCAAGATTCTATAAGGACACAAGAAGGGGGGGGGGGTCCCACGTCAACTTTCCATCAAGCTGATCTGAAAGGTGTGCTTGGGAAGGAGGGTAGACAAGAAGTGAGCAGGGACCAGAATATGCTTGTAAAGAAAATTGGTGATAAGCCTGGTGCTAAGCAAAGCATTAAGTGCCTTTTACGTATTTGCTCTCATTCTCACAAGACTATGTGTGTGGTGGGGGAGGAGCCGTGGGCGGGGGGGGGGGGGGGAGGGCGGATATCAATAGAACAGTTTGAGACTATTGTGAGCATTAATAATACATGCAAAGGGCTAGCATGCCCGGTACATTCTCAGTTAACACACAATAGAGGTTAGCTGTAAATGCCAATGTTGTGAATAAAGAAACCAACTTGGAAATTTAGGAAATCTACCCAAGGTCATGTGGCTACCGTAAGTGGAAGAAGTGGAATTTGAACTAGGCAAATATACTCCTGAGCCCGATGGTCTTCATTGGAAGGGTGCGTAGAGAAGTACTTTCATCTCCAGAAAGGTCATATTTTATGCCTGACCTTTTGTTATGTCCTTTTCATTCCAAGTAGTTGCTGTTTTGCTGTCCTCTCCGACAAAGTTAGCACATGTGAGATGTGAAAAGGCTGTGTGGGATGGATATGTAATAACATAAAGTGCCAACAGCGTTTGAGATATGGAAATAGTTTTTTTTTAATTTTAAGAAATTATTATTATTATTTTTTAAAAACTGTGGAAGACAATCAAGTTGTCTTGATTAAGTTAAACTGGGAACCTGGCAGTCCCAACCGCCACAGCTCACCTTCCCAAAGACAAATATCTTTGAAATTTAATCAGACAAAGTAATCAGTATTGATGAAATATTAATAGATCATTTAGAACCATCACTTAACAGGAATGATTACCTTTTCTCAAATGCTTATTAAAGATTTAAATAATTTAAGGTGAAGTTGCTCCCCCCCCCTTTTTATGAGGCATTTGATTTTATAGCAAAGATCTACAGAGAACTCATACAACTCAACAAAAGAAAAATAACCCAATCAAGAAATGGACAGAAGAAATAAGTAGGCACATCTCCAAAGGTGACATACAGATGGCCAAGAGGAACATGAAAAAATATTCATCACTAACCATCAGGGAAATGCAAATTAAAACTCACTACCTCACACTTGTGAGAATGGCCCACATTATAAAGACCAAAATTAACAAGTGCTGACAAGAGTGTTGAGAAAAGGAAACCCTCTTACACTGTTGATAGAACTGTAGATTGGTCCAGACCCCATGGGAAACAGTACAGATGTTTCTTAAAAGATTAAAAGTGAATCTGCCATACAACTCAGCAATTCCACTCCTAGTTATCTACCTAAAGAATATAAAAACACTAACTGAAAGGGATATATGCACTTCTATGTACATTGCAGTACTATTTACAATAGCCAAGTTATGGAAACAACCTAAGTGCCCAAATACAGATGAGTGGATCAGGAAGATGTGGTATGGGAATACCACAAGGGAATACCACTCAGCTATCAAAAAAGATAAATTCTTGCCATTTGTGGCAACATGGGTGGAGCTGGAGGGTACTGTGCTAAGTGAAAAAAGACCAAATGAGAAAGCCATACCAGATGGTGCCACTTGAATGTGGAATATAGAGAAATCAAATAAAGCATCAGTTAAAGCTGAACTAAGAACTAACCAGAACCCCAGGTAAATGAGGTTGGGAGGCTAAGGTGTACCCGCATCTGCATAAACCAGCAAACTACAGAACCCATAATGCCTTACATGTCTCACTGTTTCCTTTTAAAACATAAGTCTATCATCTTTCTCCACTTGCTCATAATCTCCAATGGTGTCGCAGCTGTCTCTAAACTAAAACCAAATCCTTTCCCTGACCTGTTCCACTTGGCATGCTCTGAGCCCCAGTCACCTATCTAACCTCATTGCCTCTCATTCATCTGCTCCGGTCCTACTGGCCTCCTTCTTTGAAGCCTCTAAACATAATCCCACCTCAGGGTTTTTGCATTTACTGTTTTCACTGCCTAGAATGTTCTTCCCCAGATAACCACAAGGCCCATTCTCACTTCCTTCTCATTTCTGCTCAACTGTCACCTTATCAGCAAAGCTTCCCCAGACTCACCCTGTTTAAAGTATCAATTCCACCACATTTGCCTCTTTCTACTGACTTTATTTCACTCTATTTTTCTGTCTAGCTTTTCTTACTATTGACATATATTTTGATTTATTTTTGCATTCCCTCGATAGAGAAGTTAGAATAGAACAGAATAGAGAAGCCAGATAATATCATCTGACTATTTTGTTTGTCAGTTGTAGGATTCATTCTTAATTGTCATATGTATTTTGAATTAACTTCTTCTGTTCTTCCTTCCTAGAATGTAAGCCTGTGAAGGCAGGAACTTTGTCTAGTGTAATATCCCAAGTGTTTAGAAAGTGTCTGGCACATAGTAGATGCTTAGTAAATATTTATTGCGTGAAGGAATGAATGTTTCTCTCTTAAAATTCTAGTTCTAGGGGTCTCCCCTGGTGACATAGCAGTTGAGCGCTGGGCTGCGAAGCTGCCAGCAGCTTCTGCAGTGCCGTGTTGATCCCTGGCCACCAGCAAGGGTCCCACATGGCGTGCAGACCTCTCCTGCCGCCCGCTGCTCCCCTCAGCAGTGTACTTCACCAGTCTGCCTGTTCTTTTCCCTGCTCTGGCTCTGGTGAATTCTCTCACCCTCCCATGCTTACTGTACCCAGTGCTGTTATAGGGCAGCCCTGATACAAAACGGGGTGCCTGAATGTGGGTCCTCACCTGCGTGCTTAAAAGGACTTATCAATGCTCTACTGCAGGCACACATGAAAGGTTCATAAAAGGTTTATTTACAAGGGAAGGGGAAATGAGGAAATGTACAGCTCGGGGAGAAAAATGGGAGAAAAAGTTTTAAATGTGTCCTACCTGATCCGTCCATCTGGAATCCCAAATGGCACTCTGAGAGCTGGCTGCGAGCCAGGAGGTGAGCAACAGAGTGAGAGAGCCCAAGGCCCACGTGTTTGGTTTTTATACCCAACCTGGCTGCTTAACCCCACCCTCAGGTCCCAGCCACCTTCCCTTTGGTGGTGACGGGATTTGTCTTTCACAATGTCTTGATGGCTTTGGTCTGGAGTGGGGGTGGAGTCCACAAAGCCTGTATGGGATTAGCTCAGGACATCCTTTCCCCCTAACAATTCCCCCCCTTTCACTTTTTGTCACCATTTATGGTGACCAATGCAAGGAATGTTACTTTGGGCTGGTCAACCGCGGTGTAACTTGGAAACCATGCTGGGCGCCAAACTGTTATAGGGCAGCCCCAATACAAAACGGGGTGCCTGAATGTGGGTCCTCACCCGCGCGCTTAGAAGAACTTATCAATGCTCTACTGCAGGCACACACGAAAGGTTAATAAAAGGTTTATTTACAAGGGAAAGGCAAATGAGGAAATGTACAGCTCAGGAAAAAAAAATGATAAAAAAGTTTTAAATGCATCCTACCCAATCCGCCGATCTGGAATCCCAAATGGCACTCTGAGAGCTGGCCACAAACCAGGAGCTGTGAAGCCAGGAGGCGAGCGACAGAGCGAGAACCCAAGGCCCATGTGTTTGGTTTTTATACCCAACCTGGCTGCTTAACTCCACCCTCAGGTCCCAGCCACCTTCCCTTTGGTGGTGATGGGATTTGTCTTTCCCAATGTCTTAATGACTTTGGTCTGGAATGGGGGTGGAGTCCACAAAGCGTGTATGGGATTAGCTCAAAACATCCTTTCCCCCTAACAGTGCTTGTATAAATAAATAAATCTTTTAAAAAAAAATTCTAGCTCTACACCCAGAATTTCAGATAGTACACAGTAAATTGGGGCTGTGTCTTTCCTCATGATTCCTGCATGCCCCAATTACAATTTTCAAAATTGACTCCCCTCCTCGTTACCATGACCCAGTGCCACTTACTACTGTGTGTCGCATAACCGCCAGTTCCTGTTGAAGCTGAAGATGGTCGCCATCTCCTCATCACTCAACTGAAAGTCAAACACCTGGAAAAGCAAGAATCCCAAACATGATCTCCATCCACTCTGGCCAGGAAAGAGGTTCTCTCCATAGCACCACTGGCCACACGTATTTCTCTCACTCTGTCACTGGCTATGAATTTGGCTCTATGTGAGGTCTTATGGAAAGACTGCAGCATTTATTGGGTCTAGTGTCACAAAGGGGAGGACAGCAGGCCCACAGGCATTATGCTGGGTATGCACATGAGTGCTCCCTAGTGGACTTATGGGCTCTTCCAGAAAGACTGGGCTTCAAGCGCTACTCACACCTCCTCTGCTGCTGGGAGTGTTTAGGCCAGGACAGTTGGCTTTGGGGTATGGACCATGGCTCACATGCTCAGGGGCAACCACAGTTCATCTCTCTTTGGTGGAGAGAGGCACAGCTGGGCTCAGTCTGTCAGAACATCACTGGCTGCTCCCCCAGCACATCCTTGGCCCACAGGATCTCAGCTCTACTGAGGTCAATTTCCTGCCTGAGAGGTGAGAGGTTGGTGGGGAGAAGGTGGGGCCCACAGACAGCACAAGGCTGGGATGAGTAGCCTGGTGAGAGAGTCCCCTCTCCACCGAGGAAAACCAGGGCCAGAATCTTACCTTAAAGTTCTCAATGATGCGTGCTGGGGTCACAGACTTGGGGATCGCGACCACATTCCTCTGGATGAGGAACCGGATCAGAATCTGCACAGAAAGGGACATCGTGTTTCCACTTACCCAAGAACCACTCCCTCTGCTGAAAGAAATGCCTGTATCTTTAGTAGTAACAACAGCCAATATTGACTATGCCCTTTCACAATACGTAGATGCATGCATGAAGATGATCACCATGGCTACTGATGGAGGTAAGGATAGAGAAGTTGGGAAGGAGGTGCCACAAGACCAGAAACCTGGCTCACGCCATGAAGGGAGCTAGAGGAGGAGGCAGAAGTGATTAACACAGTATCTCCCTTAATCCTCACCACACCCTATGATTTCCCTATTAATAAACAAAGAAAGTGACTTGGGGCAGTGTTTGGGGTCATAGGGCTGACAAGAAGTGGAAATGGGACCTGGACCCCAATCTCTCTGCTCCAAAAGCTTGAGCTTATCGCTGGTGGGGGTGAGGCGAGGGGAGCTCAGGAAGCTGTCGGACAGATGCTATCCATGTTTCAACACCAACTGTTTTATTTCCTGAAAGTCCAAACAGTGGATTTTCTTTCTTATTTTCTTCCTCTTTGAGGAGATAAATAGGCAACGCAAGGAATGAAATACAAGACTGATTTGCTGGGGCTAAAAACCCAAAACCCACCAAGCAAACAAGCAAGTGAGCATGTTGTACCTGAGCTGAGGTCTTTTTGTGCTTTGCAGCAATCTCCTTAATCTTGGGGTCCTCCAGTAGGGAAGGTTCATCTGGCTTGGCCCTGGAGGTAGAGAGATGGCTGATGTGGATGATCATCTTGGGCTACTGATGGAGGTAAGGATAGAAAAGCTGGAAAGGAGGTGTCACAAGAACAGAAACCTGGCTCACACCATGCAGGGAGCTGGAGGAGAAGGTAGAAGTGATTAGCACAGTCAATAAACCAGCTCTGGGAACCAAAACTCCTAGGAGCCAAGGCACAGACCCAAGCAAAGAGTCAGATGCTATTAGTGTCATAGGGCGCCGATGGAGGTGAAGATATGGAGATCAAGGCCATTGTAGAATCTCCAGTCCCTTTCAAATTCTACATAGTTACCCAAAATCAACAGCAAACAAACCACTCCAGGAAGGAGTGAGCCCCTCCCAAGGAGAATATTATCTCAGTGCAATCTCTGTTCAGGCATGGGGCAACAGGCCTTCTGCCCACCTGTGCCTATGCAGGTGCTCATTTTCACCAACTCTCTGTCCCTCCACAGGGCAGCAGCCTTCCTGCTTGCCCGTGACCTGTGTCCATGCCAGGTCTTCTCCTCCCTGACCTCCTTCCACAGAGGAAGCTCCCCTCAAGTCCGCCTGCCTGTTGACCATGCAGGTCTCTCTCAGCAAATCTGTCCCTTTCGGGGAAGCTCTTTCTGTCTGCTTGTGTCTATGCAAGTGTCCTTTATTCTTCTCTCCCTTTTATAATGAACCTGCCCTTTTGGATTTAACCAACGTCTCTGTGTCGTGGAGAATCTCATCTGGGAAACTGGCCAGTGCCGCTGAAAGGGAAGCTCTGGTAAAACTTCTTTTCAGAGTGACCCCAAGGACCCCACTCTTTGAACCCAACAACTCCAAAAATGACTTCGTCTTCCATATGGAGGAATATTGCCTCCAATTGTAAGAGGGTGGTCCCCAGGAAAGGGGGAGGTTCCAGGTTCCCTGCCCCACCCAAGGAAGGGTGGAGCTGAGCAGGAAGAGAAGCGGCAGAAGAGACTGAGGAAGGAAGCAGGATGGAGCCAGGAGACCTGGAGGAGGCGCATGGAGCCTAGAGACACGTGAAGAAACTGCGCTTGTCTTTTGGTCGTGGACGGGGTGACACAGATGTGGGTGAGACCCGTGGGGAGGTGACCATGGCAGCTTTTATCTTGATGTTGATTTTGCTCTTTTCCTTCTGGGCTTGTCCAGTTGTTTGTGACCCTTTTCTGTGGGTCCCCAGTGGAAGGTGCTTTAGACTTACGGCAGGCTTTGGGGCCTTGTTCTGGGCCAATCCCATTTGGATGGACTTTTACCCACGAGGGGACGGGTAACTTTGGGTGCTTCATTTAGAAACTAGATTCTTTGCCTTACCTGTATTGTTTCCTAATTAAAGTTCCTTCCCATTAAAGTCTCCTATGTTTTGTGTTGATGCAGCGGATGGCAGAACCCATTTAGAATAGGCAGGTTTGCGGGGCTTGGGCTGCCCCTCTCCCTGTCCTATAACACAATGACTGTCCTAGTCTTCATGTGGGAGACAAGGCAGGTGGACCTGAAAACTTTGTGTCTTACCTGTGTGCCCACCCTCGGCATTTGGCAAAGGCTGGCCGAGTGCTGGCAGCAGAACAGGGGTATTCCCAGAGCTTTAGGCATGTTGCTGTTTTGTTTTCTTTTAATTCCTTTCCTCCCACCCCACACCTCCCCACTGATTGCATGAGCCAGGCACATTGCCTTAGGCATTTTCCTTTTTGATGACTTAGAGTTTCATACCAACACTAACCAATTTGAAAATAATTTTATAAGAGCATCAAAGATCACTTAGAAGCCTTACCAAGGTCTGTCCGGGGACCCCAGAGGACTATAAGCAGTGACAGCAATGCCCTTGGACTGACAGTACTGGATCAGTTTCTCCTGCGTGAGGTATGGGTGGCACTCGACCTGCAAGAGCAAACAACCCCCATCACTAGGCAAGCGAGTGAATTGCTCAGAGAGAGCATTCTCCACGTGAAAAAGATCACCAAGCAAAGGCCAAACACCACCCACGGCGAGTCTTGCTAAAGCAGACCCCAAGACCAGCTCACAAAATGTCCCGGTAACTGACCCTGAGGTGAGACGCAGCACATGACATTGAATTTGCTTTTGGGGCTAGACCCTTAAGAAGTAATGGGGCTAGACCCTTAACCTTTGTGGCAGAACAGAATTTACCTGGTTAGTCACTGGCTTGTGCTTCAGTCCAGGTTTGTTCAAGAGTCTTTCAATCTGCAGGTGGTTGAAGTTGGAGACCCCAATGGCTTTCACCAGCCCCTCATCCACAAGGTCCTCCATGACCTGACATAGAAAGGAACACTGTGGGCATGTCTAGAGGTTACAGGGACCCCACTGGGATGGGTCCTTTCCTTGGGAGAGGAAAATCACTGAAAGGAAGTTCCAATTCAGCCAATGGATGTCCACCGAGGGTTAGTTCTACACACCCCCACCCCCCAACCCCAATGAAACTAAAGTTCATTCTTCACAATTAAAAGTAAAGATTTTATCTGCTTGATGTTTTCCCCTCACCCAAACCTGGGTGACCTGGGTTAGCTCCAGGAAAGGCCACAGCATGTGAAGAAGCATTACTTGCCTGGGTTCTGGGCCACTCTGTCCCATAGAAATCATGGGTTGGTTTGCAGTAATATCAAAGTCACTGGGAAAGATCATGCAGACTTGCTCTGGCAGGGGCACCCAACCTGGCAGGTGGCTGAAATTTAGCAACCATTCATTTACCAAACCATCATCCCTAGTACAGAAACTGTAACAGGGTGGTCCCCAGGAAAGGGGGAGGTTCCCTGCTCCACCCAAGGGAGGGTGGAGCTGAGCAGGGAGAGGAGAAGCTGCAGAAGAGACTGAGGAAGGAAGCAGGATGGAGCCAGGAGACCTGGAGGAGGCACGTGGAGCCCAGAGACACGTGAAGAAACTGCGCTTGTCTTTTGGTCATGGACTGGGTGACATGTGGGTGTGATCCATGGGGAGGTGACAATGGCAGCTTTTATCTTGATGTTGATTTTGCTCTTTTCTCTCCAGAATTGTCTGGTTGTTTCTGACCCTTTTCTGTGGGTCCCCACTGGAAGATGCTTTATACTTGTGGCAGGCTTTGGGGCCTTGCTCTGGGCCATTCCCATATGGATGGACTTTTACCCACGAGGGGACGGGTAACTTTGGGTGCTTCATTTAGAAACTAGACTCTTTGCCTTACCTGTATTGTTTCCTAGTTTTATTAAAGTTCCTTCCCATTAAAGTCTCATATGTTTTGTGTTGATGCGGTGGATGGCAGAACCCATTTAGAATAGGCAGGTTTGCAGGGTTTGGGCTGCCCCTCTCCCTGTCCTATAACAAAACCATATGGACCCCAAAGAAAGGTATCTTTTCATACATTTTAGCCTCAAGGAGTACTTTTCTGCATTTGCCCAAAAATATCATCTGGGTTGATCAGCAGCCCCAAATTCTATGTGATTTTATTAATTTATTACATGCCCAGACCCTGCCCGGGAGTCTTCAGGATATAGCAGTAAACAATGCGTTTCCATCTTCTGAGAACCCAGTGAATATCTGGGTTTCCTTTTGGGGAACAGTTACTACACTGAGGTGCCTCAAATAATTTGACATAAGTGTGGTGCTGAGATTCAGGAAGGTCAAGGAGGAAGGCCCACAGCTGTCTGGGGAGATTTTATGGGTGAAGTGTAGACTGGGACTCAAGTAACTTGGTGAGAAGAGATTAAACAACAGAGCTGGTGTGGGAGGAAAGAAGTAGCAAATGCTTCAGGGCAGGTAAGAGCGAGAAGTGTTGAGTGGATACTTCTTTCAATGGTTCTCAAACTTGGATGCAATTTAGAATCACTTGAGAGTTTTAAAATATACTAATGCTGGGAATTTAACCCCCTGCCCCAGAGTTTCTTACAAATATTGTTTAAAAATGAACAATGATGTAAAAAATAAAAAATAAAAACAAACAAATAAATAAATAAATATAAAACCTCAAAAACAAAAATAAACTAAGTCGTTCTGGGATGTAGCCTTGGCTTGGAGATAATTTTTTAACTACTTCAGTGATTTTAATGCATAGTCAAAGTTGAGAACCACTGGTGTAGATGATCTAGGTCTTCACGGTGGGCAAAGTTTAGAACTGATGAGATCATTTGCCTGAGGTGAAATGCCCAATTCACCAAGTGAGTATATACAAGTTTCTGTGTGTCATGGATGTGTTGTACTTGGGTGTACAATGTATCTTGAGTTTTTTCCTCCCATCTATTGTAGGATAGTCAAGGTTTCTGCTGAGCTGGGTGTGATTCCACATGAACATCTCCACCTACATGCTCAATCCTGCCTCTGATGCTGATCATCTAAACCTTTAAAAGCCTTCCAAATCTTTTATTAAGCATTTTATCTCAAATCCTTTCAAAGGCTAAAGAAAGCACGGTGAAAATCAGTGTACTTTTTGCAGAGAACAAGGACATAATAATCACATTTAATCCCATCCTAAGAGCTAGTGTGAAAAATACTGTGGAAGCCATGCTTCCACAAAATATTGTGGAGGTATGCTATTCTTCACCTTTCAAAAAGCATAATTCCTAAGATATTTCAGAGGTCTTGTCTTACAAGGATAATAAACTTAACAGAGCTCTCTCATCAAATTTAATACCAAGGTCGAATCTGCTGAAATCTTAGGCAATGTAAGCTATGTCATAGGTACTGCCACAACTTTCATTCTTACGAATATAAAAAACAGTTACTGTATTGAGTCCATGTACATAAATCATTATATTGATCATTAATTTATCACTCCTGAGATTTTTCTCTACAAGGAGGCCATTTGTGGCAGGAAAAGAAATATGTCGATCTTCTTTTACAGTTAAGTACTAGAATTAAGTTTCATTTTATAGCTACCATCTTGTCACCAGCAAAAGGAAGGCAGTAACTTCTGTTGAAGGGTCAGGCATAATAATTTTTGTAGTGAATATATCAAACAAGTACTTAAGACTATGTACTTGGATAATGAATGACTTGTGTGGTCATTGAGACGCAGAATATATAAATCTTAAATAAAATTCTATTTTTCAACTGCATTAGAATCCTCTTTCCAGTACATGAGTTCAACCAGCTCATGACTTGTACAGAAATGATGATCTGTGACATTTAACCATGAATTTATATATAATTATACAATTAACATAATGGAATGTATGACAGATGAATGCCTTCTTAAGATTTCCCCAAGAGTATTTGATATACTTCTATGTATAATCTCTTGCTCATGAGCTATAATTTCAATAATTTATTATTTAGTATGCTGAATTACACAATACATTGCTCTTTTCTTGTGGCTAATTTGACCTGTAGAACATAACTCCAAATGACATAGCCTTGTAGAGTAAATCCAGTGATAACACTGAAGGTCTTTATCAGGACTACAGCGTTTTGGACTTTTTCTCCCTTTTTCGTAGAACCCAGAGAGCCTCATAACAGTTTACACATCTACTCATGGAAATCCAGGTAACTTTCTCCATACTTCCTTTTAAGAGGCTTCTGTTGCTACTAAGCAAGTTTAATGACCTACCTGCCAAAGGTAATTCCCTTCCAACTCTGCTAATATCACAATTACATAATGATGACTTTTTGGCTTATCACCCATTCCCTCAGTTAGCAAATCAATTTTACTATCTAAATTGTCTTATGGCTGGTTGTTAAATTTCGAAACAGCAATGGGCCTCCCCAGTGGCGCAGCAGTTGAGCCCTGGGCTGCGAAGCTGCAGCGCCAGTTCGATCCCCGCCGATAGGCGAGGGTCCCACATGGAGCACAGATCTCTCCTGCCGCCCGCTGCTCCCCTCAGCAGTGTATTGTCAGTCTGCCTGTTCTGTTCCCTGCTCTGGCTCTGGTGAATTCTCTCACCCTCCCATGCTTCTGACTGTACCCAGTGCTTGTATTAAATAAATAAATAAAATCTTTTTAAATAAATAAATAAATAAATAAATTTCAAAACAGCAAGAATGTTGTACTTACAGATAAATACCTTTGGACAATGCCAAGAAAATTATGTTTAATTTAATCATATTGATGGTAAGCTCTTCAGAAAGTAAAGACTTAATGTCCAGTTGATTTAATGTCAAAGACTTAATGTCAACAAACTCATAACTGCAAGCAATAGTACACCCAAAATGGGAAAAATGCCTTTCACTCTTGGACTTGTCACTATTCATTTATAACTTTCATTCACTTTATTCTCTACTAGTATTTATAAGAAGTTACAGTGATTTCAGAAAAATTTATCTGAGAAACATCTTCATCCCTTCATTCAGTTTGGAATAGGAATTATGCAGAATGGGTTATTACTGCATCTGAAAAGTGGGGCATTCATATCCTCTGGTATATGAGCTAGTGTATTCACTGTGTACCAAGTGTCATGTGAGGAATTTGAGTGGTTTGGTGGTTAGACTTTGGTGATGGATAGACCCAAACCCAGGCCTGCCACAAAGGTAACAGTCACCAGCCTCCTAGTTCTCAATTTTTTTGCTTGTAAATGGGGATGGTAATGGTACCGGCCTCATAGGGCTGAATGACTAAAGTCCATTGCACAGATGGACTTTAGACATTAGCTTCTTTAATCTTTAAATGACCACTTCCTAAAAGATACTGATTTATAACATTGTAAGATTTTTTTTTTAAGTGAAACTGAACCAAGGAGTCAATAAGTCAAATAACACCGATGTCACTCAGCTAATAAAAACCACACAGACCCAGGGCAATACCTGTCTTCCAAATCTCTCTCCTAGGCTTCACAATAGCATATGTCTTTCAAATTGAGATAGATTCTATTTCCAGTCTCATCTGAGGAGTCAGTCTGAGCCCTTGAACACATTGGTATTCAATGGACCCCCAAACCAAAGATGATGATGTAATTAAATAGCATCAAGTACCTGGCTTGTTCACACTGGGGTACACCCTTGGGATGGCTGAAGGGAAGTTTTCACTCACAGCACACTGAGAAGAGAAGAAGATAGAACTTACCTCCCAGGCATCCAAGAAGTTTCCTTTACCGGGGAGGACAATGCCTTTATCATCTTTGGGTAAAAATTGCTTTCCAGCCTGTGAATGCAGAACAGAATGCTTAGGACATTGCACATCTGAACACCTGATTTTGAAAAATGAGGTTTCAGGATCCTAACTCATGCTAAACACCCTCAAACACATATACATTTTTTTCAAGCTCAGGAATATAAACTTCAGTTTTAAAAAAATCTAAATCTATCCAATATATAAAAATTTGTGTAATTTAGAAACTGCTGGATTGACTTTGAAATCTATTGTTAGCCATTCCAAAAGCCACCATCACCAGCATGGGCATTCACAGCACACACCTTGATCCCTTGTACACTTGAGGAAACCTTCAATTTCCAAACTACCTGGTAAGGATTCACTTCCAGGGGCCTCCCTGGTAGTGCAAGGGGTTAAGACGCAGCACTGTGAAGCTGTCCACAGTCACTGGAGAATGAGTTCGATCCCTGGGCAAGGGAGGTGACCCACATGGTGCAACAGACCTCTCCTGAGTCTCCTGCTGCTCCCCTTAGCAGTATATTTCAGTCAGTCTGCCTGTTCTGTCCCCAACTCTGTCTCTGGTGAATCCTCTCACCCCCACACACCTCTGGCCTGTACCTCAGTTCTTGTATGCATAAATAAATAAATCTTTAGAAAAAAGAAAGGATTCATTTACAAAGGAGTGGTTTACTGGAAAAGTTACCAGCCAACTTTTATTCTTGAAGCATCAGGAACCTTAGAGTTGAGAATGGCCCCCCATCATCACCTCACTGGTCGGGAGGTGAGAAAACTGGGCTTTCGGGCCCCTCCCATCACTCAGAAGCAGTGAGAGAGGAGCTCCTAAGCCAGGAGTGTTGTTTCTTTAGTCAGGACTGGCTACCTCCTCCATACCTGGGCTTTTTTCCAAGAAGGCACTCCCGGGGCATGCTTTTGTTAACAAGACAAAAAAGTTGAGCCTTTTCTGAAATGTCATTATGTAAGAGTTCCTCTGGGAGGGCACCCCTTGGCATGGAATCAGAATAATGGTGGAGGGAGGTTGCACCTTACCTGGACTGTGAGGAGTCATAGTTTCTCTCAGAAAAATCTAGAAAAAATCTAGGCAGGTGGACATCTCAACAGCTACACATGGTGCAGCCTCCCTTCCAGGCCAAAGCCTTTGTACTCCATTGTCTCCTTGGGATACCCTACAGTTCAAGTCTCCAGGGGCAAGACTTGCTTCAGCCCACCCCAACCTCCGGTCATGGCCTCCATACTATTTTCAACACCTGCTTGGGAAGTGAAGATTGGGACAAGGTGTAGCTCAAACCTGTAATGCCTGAGGCCAGTGAATAAGGTAGATGTCCAGATAGTCCAGTTTCAGATCCTGGAGTGTCTTCTGAAAGGCTTTCTTCACGAGAGGTCTCTCAAAGAAGGTAGGCCATAGCTGCAAAGTGCAAAGGGTAGGGAATCAAGACCTGGGGAGTTCTTCTGCTTGTTCTCCCTGCTGTTTGACTGATGCCTTGAATTTCTAATGGAAGGCAAAGACGATTTATAGCATGTTGCACCAGGCAACACAACACTGATTAAAAAAAAAAAAAATGGGAGTTGTGGAGCAGTCTACATAATGTAGGATGCTGCTGAAGAGAAAACTCCTGGCCTTTTTATTGATAGAATAATTACACAGCATCAGTTGTGAGGAGAAGGAGGCCAAAAAGAAAAGGGAGAGGTGAACTAGAAAACGTGCTTTATCACCTACAGTGTCATGGGTTGTGAGGATCCCCCCCAGTCATACCTTGTGAAGCCTAGCCTTCCCAGAGTGATCAAGCTTTAAGCTTTTGGTTGATTTTAAAATCACCTTGTAAGGTTTGGCTCTGACTGATTGACCTCATATAGGAATGCAGAACTGTGGATAACGAAAATTGCAGCCGAACAGGCCGCTTAGGATTTGCAGACTCACAGTAGTCAAGTCAATTGAGATGCAAGATTCAGATCTACAAGATCACCTGGTGCTCAGCCAGCCAATGACATTTCTTAAGTGTTGAACACAGGTAATTTATTCTGTTGGTTACTCTGTGAGGACAGGAAGCATGTCTAGCTTCTAAATCTCAATCATCCTTAAGCATATGGTCCTCTGTTTGTACTCCCACATCCCCAAACCTAGAGGCCCCAAGTGATGGCTCAATAAAGAGTTTATCCAGACTCCACTACTGCAAGCTGTGAGGCCTATTTGCTCCTTCGGATGATACATGAGTTCTCCAAATATCTGTAACTAGTGATTTTCAGCAAGGTAATTATAAGACTTCACCCTCTCACCCAAACAACCCTTTTTTTAAAACATAAAATATTTGTAACTGACCCTTTACTACACAGAACTGAATGACAGTCATAAGTGACAATAAAAAACACTCCCACTATTTTCCAAAATATCCCCTGACTGAGAACCTCTGGGACACAGCTTTTGAGAACACAGTGCTAAAAGGTGGGGTTTGGGACCATTCTGCATTGTACCCTTAGCCTTTGAATTGTCATGGAACAGGTGGATCCCACTTATGGGGCGCAGGGAGATCAAGGGCACCACTATGCTTAACAGAGCCATCCCCACCAGGGTAAAAACAACTGGGGGGCGAGGGGCAGTACAGAGATACCTCCACATACCAATGGCCTAGAGAGGACATGCTTGTGTCCAAAGATGGCATAAAGGCAACAATAAAGAGGGCTGGGAGAAGTGATGTGAGTTACTTCGAGGAAAGGTTTGCAGAATTCTGGGTGCTTCTGTCAGAAGTCCCAGTACTTCTGCCTGCCTTGAAGTGCAATCCTCCCATCCAATGAGCCCTCCACACCTTGCTGACAATGAACAGGTCCTCCCTTTTCACCGCCTTCTCTTGAATCTTCTCCTGGATGGCCTCCCCCACCTCTTTCTCGTTCTCATAGACGTAGGCGCAGTCAATATGGCGGTATCCTGCATCAATGGCCGCTTTCACGGCCTCTTTGACTTTGCCTGGGGGAGACTTCAAGGAAGAAGAAAAGACCATCACAAACCCTTATTCCCAGACCATCTGGAATAGGATCTCTGACACAGCCCAGCTCTTCCAGACCTAGACTCCACACCAGGGAGGAAGCGCACTTGAGAAAACTTTTCACAAGTGAGCGAAGGAAAGTGAATTGGTTTTAGGACGAAAGCCTCATGTCCAAGCCTGGCTAAAAAAGCCATTTGCTTCTAAATCTAGGTCTACTCTCCAGCCTGGGGATGTCCCCAGGGTGTGGAAGACACAGATGGCTTCTACTGCAACCCTTTCTAAGGACCAGGCTGAAGGCGAGATTCTAAAATAACCTAGAGAAACTCTCAGAAGAAAAGTGGTCCTTACAGCAGAAGTGCAGACTCATCCCGCCAGGTGTGTGGCCTGAGCAGAGCACATAATTGCCCTTGACCTTGCTGCCTGTTGGAAACAGTGACCATTCAGCCTGGCGTGGTCATTGTGTAACTGCCACACGAAGGGATAGTGGGTACAAACCACTATGTAACTACCGTTCAGAAAAAGGAGAAATAGAAAACGTTGTAAGAATAATTTGTTTTGTCCTTTTAAGGCAAGAATAGAGAGGGGGAAATATGAGAAATTCCACATTCTGTCTAATCTAGACAAATCAAACAATAAAAAATAGAGCACTTAAATAGTGATTTTTCACAATTTTTTTAAACCTATTCTCTTTTGAATAAATATTCAGAAACCTGGGTGACACTCTACCACTGTACCCTGTTCTACCGTCACTGGGGAATATGTAATATCTAAAATGATACCATCCCTGAGTCTTCAGAAATGGTTCCTTTCCTAACCTTCACCTCTACTTAGGAAATTCTGAAAACAGTTTTTTTTTTTCCCATAAATTTATATGCATGAACAGATTCACTGATGGTGTGGAAGTGATGCTTTGTCACATCTGTCAAGTCAAAGTTCTGGTTTGGATTAAAATAACCCTGTTCCAGCAAAAGAAGCTGAAACAAAATCAAACTGGAATTGATCTGCTCACACCCTGGACCAAGAATGCTTTTAGGAATGACCAAGTCTTGGGACTAAGATGGTGAGGACATGGAATAGGACATTGGCAGAGGGAGCCGAGAAAAGGAGGAATCTTGTGGGGTTAGTCTCCACACCCCACCCCACCCAAAAGTCAGATAGGTTTTTCTCAGCAGGCCCAGAGAAGCCTCTAGTCACCTTGATATGAGAATTTAGGCTTAATCAAGGCCTCAGGAGCCTCAGGTGGTCCATTACCATTACTTAACAGTGGCACAGCGGTTGAGCGCTGGGTTGCAAGGCTGCCCGCAGCCTCTGTAGCACCAGTTCAATCCCCGGCTGCTCCCTGGCCACCGGAGGCGGGTCCCACATGGCGCGCAGACCTCTCCTGCCGCCCGCTGCTCCCCTCAGCAGTGTACTTTGGTCCTTCTGCCTGCTCTGCTCCCCGCTCTGACTCTGATGAATTCTCTCACCCTCCCGCGCTTCTGACTGTACCCAGTGCTTGTATAAACAAATAAATAAATAAATCTTTTAAAAAAAGAAAAGAAAAGAAAAGAATGGATTGAGAGCAGAGAGGGACCCTGCAGGCTAAGGGAAGCTTTCGTTCTTGCCCAAGGCCTTTATCCTTCCTAATCAAAGAGGAGATCAATATGTCCTAAGCTTCTGCCCTTTTTTTACTCAAAGAAGCTGTCACTGTTCCCCCTTTTATGACCCAGAAGAATGTAGTTTGGGGTCTCATCCAGTTCTGTGTTTATCTGTAAGCATGCTCTCGCTATCTAAGAATCTCATCTGTACTCTCAGAGTAAGGATGAAATCACCCCCTTCTTGTCTATCATGTAAAGTCTCTCCCTCTCTGTCCTTGAAAGCCCCAGGTCCTAAAATGCAAGATAAATATTCCTGATCCACTTTGTTTTTCTTTAAAATTTACAACCAGGTGAATTTTCCACATGCACATTATTAAATTCATTGTTTTTCCTTTGCTCACCCATCTGATGCTGTTTTGATTATTCCTCCAGCCCAAGAAGAACCCAGAAGGGTACTGGATGATTTATTTTACATCTGGACAAATTCAAAGACAGCTGCTGGTGTGAACACACTGTAAACGTTCTGGGAAAATGGCCTCTCCCTGGTCAGGTAGACCGGAGAGCAGGGTCATCTGCATGGACAAGAAGTCTGAAGCTAGAAGACATGCAAAATCTGATGCTTTCAGAGAAAGCTATTCTGCACCCCCACCAATGACTAAGGAGCCAGACCAAGAAGATCTAACCTTGGGGACCCAGGTAACTTAGAAGCAGAAGGCCCCTAATCAAAAGTAATTACAATTTTCAATTATCAGTGACTCACAGCTCCTATCTATTAAACTAAATTTTAACTTGTGTTTATAGAAACAGTTCTTGCAGAGTAAAATCTGTGGAACTGCATCCAGGGTTCAAATCCTCACTGTGATTAACATACTCTTTGTCTAACTATCTTTGAGATTTTTTTTTAAAAAGATTTATTTATTTATTTATACAAGCACTGGGTACAGTCAGAAGCGCGGGAGGGTGAGAGAATTCACCAGAGCCAGAGCAGGGAGCAGAGTAGGCAGAAGGACCGAAGTACACTGCTGAGGGGAGCAGCGGGAGGCAGGAGAGGTCTGCATGCCATGTGGGACCCTTGCCCGGTGGCCAGGGATCGAACTGGCGCTGCAGAGGCTGTGGACAGTTTCGCAACCCAGCGCTCAACCACTGTGCCACCGGGGAGGCCCTATCATTGAGATTTTATTTCCATTTAACACTGGTAACTAGTTAGGATGGTACTGTCATTATGGAAATAGTAAGAAAGCAGATGGAAAATGATGCGAAACATTTTAAATGCATCCTAAGATAGTTGCAGGCATCTTAACACAGGCGGCAGGCCTCATTGAACCTGGGAAACATCTTACTGGGTTTTGCAACACGCTGTTAGCACACGTGGTTGGGACCATCCCAGGTGGACAGTGTTCTCAGGTTACAGTGCACTGGCATCCCCTGGAATCTAGTTCCAGTGCTGATCCCAAACCAGGAGCCTGGAGAGGCTCTGCAGGCTTGAGCAGCTGAAATGCACCCACTACCACCACCTACTTCCCAGGAGCACCTACTTCCTTCCTAGAGCAAGGGGAGTGAAGGGGAAAAAGCTGCTGGGAGAGGAGCTGCCCTATAAATGGGTGTGTTTTTTTCAAGGCTAGCAACTACTTGCAATCTGAATCTGAAAGTGCTCACCAAGAATGCAAGAAGCCAGTCTTGGAACCTTGCAGTGTGGACCAGCCGTGAGAAAGGAAAGCAACCCTGGTCCTGGTTCTGGAACTCAACTCTCACTCACCCAACCTCTCCTATTGATGCAGAAGAGAAAATTGCCCCAAAGTCCCTGGAAGGGAACAGGTGTCCAAAGAGTAGCATATTTACCTGCCAGGTGCCCAGGCCCACGATGGGCATCTTGGCTTTGGTACTGAGCTCCACGAAGGTAGCCATGGTGGGGGCAGAATGGTTCTGTGCAGGCAAGTGATGTGTCCTATTTAATAGCCTGAGCCTAGATTCAGAGGGAGGAGCTAGAGGCTGGGGTGTGCCTGCATGAACAGGAAGCCTGCCAGCCTGTGTGAAGTCTGATTATGCTAATGAACTTGTCCAAAGTTCCAGCTATAAAAGGCACAGATTACTTTATGAGCATGACAAGAGATTTTGTGGCATTTCATTTTCTTTTGCTAGTTGAATAAATGGAAAACAAAAGCATGAGTGTGTTAATTTGATCCTATAAGTTGTTCAACATTTTTAAATTCTTCCCCCCTAGAGTATGCAAATACCTATGCATCTGCTGGACAAGGTCTTCAGGTGCTAATATTCTCCAGATATTATTTAGGATTATGTTTAATTATATGTTGCATTTAGAATGAATTTTTTAAATGCTTGTGTCTATAATAAACATTTGTTTATGTGTTGATAACTTACTTAATATTTGAAATGAACTTTTAAAGTGTTTGTGACTTCTTTTAAAAAAAGACATTGTGACGAAGAAAAGATATTTACTCAGGGGCTTCCCTGGTGGTGCAGGGTTTAAGTCTCAGTGCTATCAAGCTATCTCCAGCCACTGGGACACAAGTTTGATTCCCAGCCAGGGAGCTGACCCACATGGCACAGGAGACCTCTCCTGTCTCGCCCGCTGCTCCTCTCAGCAGTGTGTTTCAGTAGGTCTGCCTGTTCTGCTCCCCACTCTGTCTCCTCTCATTCCCTGCAACTCTGGCCTACACCCCAGAGTATGCATAAATACATAAAACAAATCTTTAAAAAAAAGATACACATTATAGAAAAGTTGGAAAATGTAGATTATTTATTTTATTTTTTTAATAATAAATTTTATTTTTATATTCCCTATACAATTGCAGCCCCCTTATTTTGACCCCAATCCCTCCCCTCCCGCCCTCTACCCCCATAGAGTGTCTCTGGTTCATAGTTTTTTGTTGATTTTGATTTTCACTTTCTTATAGTTATTCATTTTCCTGATCCTTTATTTAAGTTTTCTAGATTCCTGCTGAGTGAGACCATCCGGTATTTTTCTTTTTCTTTCTGGCTTATTTCTCTGAGCATGATCCCTTCCAGCTCCATCCATGTTGCTGCAAATTGCATGTGTTTATCTTTTTTGAATGCTGAGTAATATTCCATGGTATATATGTACCACATCTTGTAGAAGATTATTTAAATAAGGAAATAGAAATCACCTATATTCTCACCACTCAAGGTATCATTGTCAAAGGATTATTTTCCTCCAGTCTTTTGTCTTTGTATATACATATTTTTATGCAAAGTGTATACAGTTTTAAACTTAATTTGCTGTGCATTGATAAAAACTCTTTTTAACATTGTTTTATATTCACTATCATTTTTAATGCTTGTAAAAGATTCTCTTTCATGAACATATTACAATTTATTTTATTTTTGTTTGTGGTAGTTGTAGTTCCCAGTTTGTTTCTATTATAAATAAAATATTTCAGGGAAGATCATTGAGAGTAAAGCATTGGACACAATTTGGGTATTTTTAAATTACCCTTTTAAATTATTTTTAAATTGCTCTCTCCATGAGAGCAATTACAATATCAATGGAAATTCCTTGAGATGTGTAAGATGTGGTTTCAAACTGAGTTTCTTTCCGAACACCACTTATAGAGTAATATACCCTATACTCTTTGTGATGTTTCAGTAATTATTTGGAAAGTATGTAGAATTTTCATTTTTTAATATTCTAACAGATATATATACATGTGCACACACTCACACATGCTTCACATAAAAAAAGGAAAATCTGTAGAAAACACACAAAAGATGATGCAAGAAAATAAAAAGCAAGCCTATTTCCACAGTTAGGGTTAATTATTGTTATCTCTTTGGCCCATATTTTGTAAATGCTCAGTTTACTTGGAAAGTCCCAAAGCAGAGGAGAATGGCACCCCATATCCCAGGAAGGCTGAGGGAAGAATGCATGAGTCTGGAATGAAAGCTTCTGGATCCTCAGCCTGTAGAGACACGATCACTGGGAGTCTAGGTGAATGGGTCTGAGGGTGCCCCAGGCTATCCCATGAGCCCCACCGCAGTTCTGGGAGAGCTGCCTGATTATCATGGCCCTTAAGGAAGTGACTGAAGGGAAGGAGTTGGTGAGCCCACAAATGTCTCAGAGCTGAGAGGTAGAGGTAGTAAGATATACAGCAGATTCAGGGATCTATAGAGCAGGTTACAGGGTAGGGATTTGTGGGGTCAGTTCCCCCCAAAACAGCCAGGTAGACTTTTCTCAGTAGGCCCAGAGCAGGCCTCTTATCACCTTGGTATGAGAAGTAGAGGTCAATCAAGGCCCCATGAGCCCCAGGAGGTTGGTGGTTTTTTTTTTTTTTTTTATTTACATACGTTTCACATCATTGTTAATTTTTAAACAATGTTTGTCCTCTCCGCACCTCCCCCCCCACCAAGCCCTTCGTATTTATTGGTGCTGATTGGGGTTGAGACCAGTCAGGGCCCTGAAGACAAGGAGAAGATTCTTTTTGCCCAAGTCCCTCACCCCTCCCTAATTGAAGAAGAGAAAATGTACTAAGCTTCTGCCCTTTTCCTAATCAAAGAAGCCAGCACTGTTCTCCCTTTATGACCTAGAAGAATGTTGTTTGCGGTCTCATCCAGTCCCAGTTTATCAGTAGATGTGCTCTCTCTATCTAAGAATATCACGTTTACTCCGAGTAAAGACAAGGTCACCCCCTCTTGTCTATCATGTGATGACATTGCGGTTTGGGCTCAAGGTCAAGATGCAGTCAAGATGCAGTCAAGTCTTGGTCACCTGAGATTGGGACTAAAGGATCCACGCCTTAAACATTCATTCACCTGGCTCTAGGCAGGAGGCCCCTCTACCTGACCATGTGCACCTCTAATCTGATTTCCTCCTTGCTTGCTTGCTCACTCTCAGATCACCTCATCTGTGGCAAACCACAGGCTATGTTGGGAGGACACAAGTGACCCCATGGAGAGATGCACATGGTCAGCAACTTGAGTGTTCTCCTAACAAGACCCCTGGCTTGCCCCAGATGAGTGATCTGAGAAAGAGAAAGCCAGGAGGGAGCCGGAATACCTTTATGTCCTCATTTTTGGAGTGAAACACCATCCCTTCTATTCAGCCCACAATTAAAAGAGGGGAGTTTGGCTCCATGTCAGGAAGAGAAAATTACAGAGGAGTTTGTGGGCATATTTTTAAATGATTGCATCTGGGATTTTGCAGAAATATGAAAACCAGGGGCAGATATTTTAGCAGAAGATGGAGAGAAGGGTGAGGATTTGAGAGAGAAAATTTATTGTTATCGTTAATATTGACACCATTTGTACTTTAGGCTTTTACCATTCAGGTCCCATTCTTCATATTGGATGAACAGCCTCCTCCATGAATCGTTTGCATAAATTTAATTATTTTCATAGGCTAAATTCCTAGAAAGAGTTACTTGTAAAACCTATTATTATTAAGATTTCATCTGAAATTATTATTCTACTCGACACTCCCACCAGCCATCAAAATGTTCATCTCCTTGCCCCTTCCCCAATATTACTATCATTTAAAAAGTTCTTTTTTAAGATTTTTATTTATTTATGCATACAAGAGCTGGGGTGTAGGTCAGAGGTGCAGGGGTGGGGGGATGGTGACAGGATTCACCAGAGACAGAGTGGGGAACAGAACAGGCAGATCTACTGAAAGACACTGCTGAGGGGAGCAGCGGGCGAGACAGGAGAGGTCTGCTGTGCCAGTAGGTAGCTCCTGGGCCAGGAATCAAATTCATGCTGCAGTGGCTGCTGATAGCTTCATAGTGCTGAGACTTAACCCCTTGTGCCACCAGGGAGGCCCCTCATTTAAAAAATTCTTTAATTATTTTGATAGGTAAAAACTGATCCTTTATGTCTGTAGTTCATACATACATTGGGGTGCACTCTCTAGACATTAATCTTTTTATCTCCTTGTACCTAGCTGTTTTAGTTATAGCATTGTTTTCTAGCATCTTTGACTATGTGAAAAGGCTAATTGCATTTCCTTAAGGTATTTTTAAGAGTCTCTCATGTATATTCTTATTCTTAAAATTATTTTTGTCAACTTTTAAAAAATACACGAATTTTAAGTGGATTCATGGTATAACTCAGTAGATTTTTTAAAACAATATTCTGTCTTCCCAACAAGAAATAAAATATACTTCTTTATTTACTCAAGTCTGTTTTGTATCTTTAAGTGACACTCTGGAACCTCCTCCCCAGAGTTCCCACAAGTACAATGTGCAGATTAACCCTGGAAACTTTGTGTCTCTTGTTGTTACTGTGAAGTAGGATCCTGTTTTGCTATAATTTCCACCCCTCTTTGTTAGTTGGTAGAAAAATCTTTCACTTTTTCCTGATGTCTTACTTCACCCATTTTATTAGATTTCTTTGTTATAGTTGCTTTTTGGGAACAGAAGATAGAGCATGGGGTAGTGATGGAGGTTCTAGAATTGCCTAGCTTTTCTGCAAAATAGTTTCAATTTTCTGTAACAGTTCTTGGGACTGCCTGAATTTATTGTAAGGGGAATAATTCTTTAGTGACTAAGATTAGCAGACTCTATGTAGTTCTACAGGAGCTCACACCTCAGTCAGGCACTTCATCAATTGTTGGGGATCCTTTTGTAACCATTGCCTATTGAACTCTTTTCTCTAGATGAGTTTATCTTAATGATTCACAGAAGCCTTTGTGCAAATCTTCCTTTAGGGAAACCTGTTTTGATACCCTGTCATAAAGTGGGACACGGTTTCTGGAGAAATGTCCTGCAGAGTTCTTGCAGAAATGTCCTACTGGCTGGCATTTCACCACTTGGAAGAGTTGGTATCATCGGGGAATGTGGGGTTGTCTATTGCAGACATTCTCCTATATAACTTATACAAACATATCATAGCAGCCCTATTCACCACAGCTAATAGATCAAAGCAATCCAAATGTACATCAAGGGGGCCTCCCTGGTGACCTAGGGGTTACATCTC